AAAAAAAGAGGGGGGGGGTGCAGAAGAGTAAAAGAGCAGTTAACTTAAAAGTAGAGCAGAGTCATTTGAATAAAAGTAGCTTCTGATGCCGGTCGACATTAAAGAAAAGAACAAATTAGACACACATGGCCAAGAAATGTTTAACGATGGAGCGGCGCACCTGAAGAACGGGCAAGGAAAGGTTCTGCAGCATTTGGTACATCTCCGAGTCCCACATTAACTCACAAGCACAAAGGAAATAAGGCAATTAAGTCTACTTTCAACAAAACCTGAGCCAGAAAATGTATTCAGATTATGCAAATTAAAAGCACTATTGTCTTGGAAGCGAACACGTGTTAGCAGCTTCTCACTGCGGCTTCCAATCACCTCAATATTGAAATGTGTTATTATGTGCTGGGCCCAATAAGCCAAGCAGACTGGAAAGCGAAACGGCAGCGCTCAGAATAACATTTGCAACGTCAATAATAATAGGAAACGTCTAATAAAGTTCGCAATTAGCGAACACGTTCCACTGCTTGAGACTGAGAGGGAGAAACATTGTTAGTGCAGACGCTAGCTCACTGGTGTGTGTACGGAAACCGCACAGCTAATAAAGACAAGTGTGTACAGACACACACACCGCCTCTGGCCTGTTTATTCTTAAATTATAACTTTTGAAAACAAAGCTGCAATTAGCGTGTTCCTAGAGAACAACAAATTTAGCCTGATCTCAAGAGATGTTCAGTGTCTCTATGTGTGAATATTAACAGTTATAGCTGTTTATCCAACTGACCCGACATGTTTAAACGAACAATATCAGCTGTCTAAAGCCCTAATTTGTAGCTCCTCTTCAGCCATCTTGACAGATTGTAACTTAACTTTCAGAGATTCCTACAGGCTGGATGAAACACATACCTGTACGTGGGTCAATGACATATCAAAGCAAGTCCCACTTTATAGTAAGTGGCCTTAACTACTATGTACTTAATTATTGTGTTCATATTGTATTGCAAAACACTTTTGCTGCTATTGAGGTGGGATACGGGTAAGGTTAGGGACAGGTTTGGTGGTATGGGTAGGTTTAAGGGTGGGTTAAGGTGTAAGGGATGGATCAACAGTGTAATTATAAATGTAATTACAGAAATTAATTACAGATTCATTTACATGCAGGTATTTTTTTTTTAAATATAAGTATATGTAAAACATGTATGTACACAATAAGTGCACTGCACCAAATGATTAATTTAAATGTAAGCACATAGTTAATGCCACTTAATATAAAGTGGGACCTAAAAGCATATATGATAAAGAAACATGTATCAAGATAACTACATGAGTTAACATGAACAAATGAACAATACTTCTACAGCCTTTATTAATATTAATCTCAACATTTTACTGACAGCACTGTGAACTAACATGAACAAACATTTTTAACTAACATTAAGAAAGGTTAATAAATGCTGTAAAAATATATTGCTTATTGTTTTTAGTTAATGTTTGTTTGTTAGTTAATGCATTAATATTAACAAACGAGACCTTATAGCAAAGTGCTCTGAAAGTTTTAAAATATATTTTAAGTATCTTTTGTAAGTATATAAATATGACTACACCACATTTTACAACATTTAACACCCCTCCCAAACACACACAAATACAATTTGAAGTCAGAAATGAAAAAGCACGCTTCTCATAGAATAGGTATATTCAAATCATTGTAGGTATAAATTTTTTGGAAAAAAAAATTAGTTGATAGACAGGACAGAGTGGGAGAAATCAACAATACATCACAACCCACTTAAACATATGTTGGCAATCTGGGGGTGAAAAAGAAAAATGTAATTTCAACTTAAATCCGCCATTATAAGTGGAATGCACTGCAGTTATGACAAAAAAACCAAAGGCGTGAGCGTGTTACATGTTGAAACGACACATTCAACAGCCTGGATCTCTAGAGACAGCTCAACAAAGCCCTTTAACCCCGTCTGATTCCTCTCATGTTAAAATCCAAAGAAAACAAACAGGATTCAAACCCAAAGTCCCGCTAGAATCCTCGTTTCCCGAAGGACCCGAGGCCTCCAACCCACGCTAACCAGCCCTTCCTTGAAACACCTGCCCCCACGGCCCCTCGGTACCCCTGGCTGGGGCAGATATCAGGGCTATCCCCACATCACGATCGGCGCTTTTTAATCTGTTATCGTCGCCATCATTATTGTGGTGCTGGGTATTATTTTGGCAGAGGTGTGTGTGTGTTTCTGGGATGCGTGACTAATGTTGCGGTCTGCTGCTCATTGCAGGCGGTTATCGTGTGCCACCATGGCAGCAGGCTCACAGTGCATAGAGACAATTGCTAATGAGACACAACCGGGAGCACTGGGGGACTGCAATGTGTGTGCTGGGATGGTGGGGTGGGCATTCTGTCCCACACCGTTCTACTACAGCCTCGAGGAGTTGTGGGATGGGAGAATCCTCTGGGGATGGAGCGGTTGATTCAGATTTTGTAAGAGTAAAAAGACGTTACCACAACATCAGGCTGGGAGAGAGAGAGAGAGAGAGAGAGAGAGAGAGAGAGAGAGAGAGAGAGAGAGAGAGAATGTTATCCTAATATGTTTGTCTTAGAAAGGCAAGAAGCAAAGGAGGAACAGATTTGATACTCAAACTTGCATACAAGTTGCAATGGAGATGAGGGTTGAAGGTGGGAAAAGAAAAGAGAGAGCAGGAGCTGCTCTTTCTTTAAAACCCCACTAACCACTGGGGCTCAGAGCTGCAGCGCTCGTAACCCTGCTGATCCTCCCCTGGGCTTTGGCCTGTTGTGCAGGCCTGCAGGTCTGCAGCAGGTGCTGGACTGTTTATACAGACAACAAGACCCTTGCCACTAAAAGCCTTTTCATAATGAAGGCGCACTATAAATTACGGTTAAATAATCAACTCACTTATAGTAACTAGGATTGCAGTTGTACTGTTACTTAAAAAATAATTGGCAGCTCTTGACAATAGTGTTCTTTTTTTTGTTTTAAAATACTTTACCATTCAAAAGTTTGGGGTCAGCTAGATTATTATTATAATTTTTTTTTAAAGAAATTAATTATTTTTCAGCAAGGGTGAATTAAACTGATCAAAAGTGAAAGACATTTATAATATTACAAAAAATGTATATTTCAAATAAACAATGTTCTTTTGAACTTTCCATTCATCAAAAACTCCTGAGAGAAAAAAAACTATTACGGTTTAAACTAAAATATTAAAGCAGCACGACTGTTTTCAACATTGACAATAAGACATATGTTTCTTAAGAACCAAATCAGCAAATTAGAATGATTTCTTCATCATGTGACACTGATGCTGAAAATTCAGCTTTGCCACCACAGGAATAAATTACATTTTAAAATATATTAAAATGAACAAGTTATTTTAAATTGTAATAACATATAATAATATTACTGTTTTTACTGCATTTTTTTTAATCAAATAAATTCAGCCTTAGTAAGAGACTTTACAGAGACATTAATCAAATGTACTGACCCCAAACTTTCAAAAAGAAGTGTATGTGAAAGAAAATGCAGAAAATTAATGATTTGTCATAGCAGTTTTCAATAAAAACTTTTTCTCTCTCAAAAATTGTAATTAAACAAAAAATAATTGAATTGCATGTATAAATTATGCTATTATTAGTTCATTATTACCAATAATATAATTGGGTAGATATTATTCTTCTCTGACCCAAATCAATTGCTTTTTGAGCAACAATTTTGCATCACCTTCACCAGGTCTGTAAATCAGTCTCTGGAATCTAACCTATTTGTGGCTAGGCCTTGGGAAATCTCAGCCAATCATTTCACACCTGCTGCAGTGCACTGAATGAGGCCTGTCGACCCAAACAAACACATCACTGCAGTTATTGTGCAAAGACCCTGCTAACATCTGCTCACAGGAAATCCCCTCTGTCAGCAGAGAGAAAGAGAGAGAGGGAGAAAGGGGCGAACAGGTGCAGGAAGGTAGTCACCAGCATCTCTGAACATGCCCTGCAGTCACCACCTGGGGGCTCTGAATACAACAGCCAGATAGGAGGTCATCACACACACGTACATATAAGCACCAAGCAGTCAGCGGTACACGGGTATGCATGTTCTTACACACACAACGCTGGTATTTAATAAACACGGCAAATCAATCTAATGCATGTCAGCGTCCTGAGCCACACGCTGCTGTCGATACTTTCAAAGCTCTCTTCTCTGTCAGAAAAGGTCAGGTGTGACATGAGGTGATGACTATAATGTCGTTCTGACTCGTTCATGTGTTCTGGCTTAACATATATAAACACATGATGTTCCTCAGACGAATACTAAGAGAGCGCTAATAAAAGAAAAAACAAATCAACCTCTCTTGGCCTTTTACCTCACCCAAGGGAATGATAGATCCAAGCAAATCATTTCATATTGTTAAACGACCATAACATAACAAGTCAAGTCAAGCTTTACTGTCATTCCACTACATGTGGGGGCATACAGTGGAACCTCACAGGACCACGGTGCTACATAAATACAGACATACAACAATTAAGTAAAACAGTATAAACCTATACACAACTAACATACTGACAGATTTTGACTATAAATATACTATATATAAATGGTTACCTATACATAAACTAAAAAATACAAACTATACAAATGCTTTACATAAATACTGTACATGTGCAAAGAGAAACATCGTAAGTCAAGCAGCTGGCTGGGGAACAGTGCAAGATGATTTGTAGTGCATGAGCACGTAAACATACATATATTACTGAGTCCTTTGTGGGATTATGTACACACAGCAGTGTGTGTGGAAAGTGTCTACTGCACATAGAGGAGAGTGTGTTACTACAGGTGGTTTGTACAGGCCCACTCACGAGGGGGGCGGGGTGATTTGAGTTCAGGGCTCTCACAGCCTGGGGGAAAAAGCTGTTGAGCAGCCTGGCGGAGCGGGCTCTGATGCTCCGGTACCGTCTTCCTGATGGTAGGAGCTGGAAGAGACTGTGGGAGGGATGGGTAGAGTCCTTCATGACACTGTTGGCTTTGCTGGAGCATTGTGTAAGGAAAATGTCCAGGATGGAGGGGAGAGGGGCACCGATGTTGTTGTTGTTGTTGTTGTTGAACAGCACCAATGTTGTTATTGATAACAACAACAACAACAAATACAAATAAAACAATATAGAACTATGGGAGTTTTTGATTATTCTATCCTAAAATGTAGGTCTTTTAAGCTACAAGCCACACAATTTGAAATAACACTCACGTCTATAGCTGAAACAGTGTGGAATGTTACTCAACAAAGTTTAATACTTATGATTTTAAAACACAATTAGAGAGATGGTTAGAGCAGGTGTTTGTAAATGTGGTTACCTGCATGCCGCCTGATTCAGGGCTGAGGGGTGAAGTACTGGATGCCGTCAGCGATGAGGAAGATGATGAAGATGAAGGAGAGCTGCCACCCTGTGGCCGAATCTCTGTGAGCTTCTTGAGCTTCAGGTCCACATGCCTGCTGTTCATCACACCTAAAGAGAGCGAGAGAAAGGAAGAGAGGAAGAGTTATATGCAGTAGGCCACTCATCTCCAAGACACAGATAAGCAGAGGACATGACAATGTTTGCCCTTAAGCAAACCGGCCCTCTCAACCTCATACACACACACACACACACACACACACACACACACACACACAGGAGAGATAGCAAGATGCTGAGAGCTTGACACACCTGAATGACACTCACATACACCTCATGTGAATTAAAAGACCTCTACTGAGATTGTAGTTCCCAATGCTCCCTTAAATTTTTGTTTGCTGAGCAAATACCACTTCTTTAGGCTGCATCCACAGAAGTATATAACATATAATATACACAACTGTTCAAAAGTATGCTATCCTTACCAAGCCTGTATTTATTTGATAAAAATAAATGTTACAGATTGTAATGTTTTAAACGTCTTTACTGTCACATTTCATCAATGTCCTTGCTGCAGAAAAAGTTCTAATCTTTAAAAAAAATCTTACTGACCCCAAACATCTGAAAGGTAGTGTTTATCATATATACATTTATTCATAATAAATGTTTGTATTATTTTATGAATATTTCATTATTTTTGTAAATATTTTTCAGATTACTAAATGTATAGTTTATAAACCATACATATTAATATAACAATAAATGACGAATAATTTGACATTCATAATAAAAAAAATATTGCATGGCCTTTGTGAGCCTGTGTATGTGCCACAATGAAGTTTGTACTGCACTGTTTGTGAATTAATCCTCTTGGGAATTAATCAGTGCTGTATATTTCCACACAAGATTTCTCACAGCTTCAGCTGCATACTGAGGAAAAAAAATCAATGGACACATGGATAGACTTCACTTTAAACTCCATCCATTAATTTAGCTCTTATTCAAGAAGCTCTAGCTCTTCCCCATCTGTTTCTAGGTCTGACTTCTTACAGTTCTTTTTTCCATCAGTGAGGGAACAGTGTCAGATGAGCAGCCAAACATGCTTAGAGGGAACAGTGCTTGTGATTCCTTGAAAGTCATAACATCTCTTTCTCTTTTAATGAACAATGACTTCTAATTTACTTGTTATATGCAAAACTGTCTTTCAAATGTGTTGGTGTCTTTTTTATGTCAGCCTTTGTATATTCCAAGTCTGTCTTTTCTAATAACCTTTCACTAGCAGGTTTAGCCTTGCCCTCTCTCTCTCTCACTCTTTCTCTCATCTGGGCTAGAGATGAAAGTGAGGTGAGGAAGCTTTTCATGTGGGTCCTGTTCTCGTCTCCCAGCATCCCTCCCCCTCCCTAACAAAAACACCACAGGAGTCATTTATCAGGCCTCAGCACAACCTGGATAAAGGTGCAGGTGTGTGTGCATTGACCAACAGTTTTCCCAAACACAAGAACCACATCCTCAAACTAACTAAAGTGTGCACCGTGACGGGTATCTATATGGTCTTTTGTGTTTGGATCGGTTAGGTTTTTTCCCCGGCAGTCCATTTTTGTTGTTAGAAACAATAACAAAACTTAAAAAGTCCAACTGTACACATAAAATTCTGGGTCCAAACCAGTTTACTGATTGACAGTCAAATAATTATCAGGAGGATGTCCCTTCCTTTCAGGAATGGGTAAGTAGAACTAACTAGAGTGGCTGCATTCGAAACAATTTCTTATAAGCAGACGGACAAGCTAAACCTACACTATAAAAAATGGTCCAAGTACTTAACCTATTTGAAAATATGTGAGAAATATGCTGATTGTGACAATGTAAATGTGATGTGCTATAAGAATGAATTTTATTTATTCATTTTATTTAATTGTATTTTATTTATTTAGTTTTCTCATCATTATATACTGAAGGATGTTTTAATTGTATTTATAGTAAATCTGTGACCTGAGTTACCATCTATTCTGAAATTTGCTTGAGAATCAATAACACTGTTAATCACTAAAAAAGGTCCAACTGTGCCATGGAGAAAAGTATGACTCTTTGAGAGCTGGAATGTGCTAAAAAAAACCCTCATTTCTTTATGTTGGAGAAAATGATTCTGTGTGTAATACATAGACCTTCTTTTCACAATAACAGACAAAAACATAAACCAAACAAAGAAACAAACAACACAGATACTACACAAAAGTAAACAAAAGAGAAAGAATAATTCAGGTTTCCTCCAGATATGTCATAAGACTTCCTTAGAAAGACAAAAAAACTAATTATTAACAACTTCACATCTCTTTGGCAGATATAATTGTGTTTGTCTTGAGAATATGTTCAAATACTTTTTAATTAAACTAAGGCACAACACATTAAAAACATCAAAAAATAAATAAATAAAATTAATATCAAAATCTCACAGACAGAAATGTTATTAACAGGCACAAACCTCACTTAAGAAACCTCCTTTTTTTTCTTAACGATTTATTGAATTAAAAGATAAATTAATTCTAACAGGTGTTTAAAATAGGAACTAATGTGACAAGAAAGAAATACAAAATTATAGGGCTGCACAATTTTGTTGAAAAAAATGTAATTGCGATTTTTTCAGATTAAAAAACATGCCTGGTGTGCTTGTTTATAGGAATGCACAATTTGGCCAAACTTTTGTGATTATATATTAATACGAAAACAACAACAACAATCATCATTTTTATTCTTATTAAAATCAAACTAAAGAAATATTACTACTGTAATTTCATTGCAATTCCATTATTTCACTGTAAAATTATAGTTCAACTGTAAAATTGCAAAACCACTATTGCTGAGCACTTCATAAGCACTTTGGTTTATATGCACTTCCCATTAAAAGCTTAGGAAGATTTTTGGTCCATATATTCCCAAAACGTTATAAGCAAACCAATGCAGAGATGAGTTGGCATGGTATGAAACACACAGTGCATGTATTTGCTAATCACATGAAACCAATTTTGGTTTGATTTAGATTTTGATTAATCATGCAGCCCTACTAAATTAAGGGTCGTAATGGCATGATAAAGGTTAACAAAAGAAAAACAATAAAAACAGACAGAAGTAGTTATACACAGATAAACCACTGCACACTAACGCACAAACTCAGGTATGTAGTGTTGCACGCACACATGTTCACACACGCGCAGAGGACATGCAGTGTTGGGTTACCCAGAGCAGCCAGGTCACTGGCAGTGTTAGTAAAATCATCCTCCATTAGACATGAAGACGACAGTTCCTCCTCAGGGTTAGTATGAGTGACATCATCAGCATGAGATGATACCGCCGCCTCAATATCACTCCTGCTCTCCTCATCCCCACCCTCCACACTCATCCCATCCACCACGTCTGCGAGCAAGCAAACAAACAGGGATGCCCCCAAAAAAAAAGAGAGAAGAGGAAAGAGTCAGAGGAGGTTAGTGAAGCGTTGAGTGTTAGCTCAGTATTCCAGCGGGAAAGGAAACTTTGCATGTAAGTAAAGAGTCAGAAAAGCATTTGTTTAGACCCATTTAGACGTTCAAACAGTATTTCCTTAACAAAAAAGTTTGCTGCTGTCACGTTGGGGTGTGTGTGTTTGAGCTGAGAGAAATCAGGATTGGCAATTTTTCTGATAAATGTAAAAAATATTATGCTATTTAAAATGCAATAAAAAAAAAAAACTCCTGGGGTCGGTTGCATAAACAACACCACATTAAGACTGTCTTGAGAACTAGTTTGAGTAACTAGCAGCGAACCAAGTGATTATCAGTCTAACTTCTCAGATTCAAATTGGATCAATCTACATTTTTATGTAACTGACTTTAAAAAATTATGACCAGTCTTGCAGAAAAAAATTAGGTGTCTAACTTTCTAGACTAGTCTAAGCAGTTTACGCAACCGGCCACTGGCTTGCTGTGCTTGTTTGTACAGCTGCACAATTTGTCTCAAATTTTGTGTTTATATATCAATATGACTATAAAATAATAACAATAATAATTGTATGATTATTAATATTACTATTATTATTATTATTAAAAATATTCGTAACACTTTATTTTAAGGACCAATTCTCACTATTATCTAGTTGCTTATTAGCATGCATATTACTAGCATACTGGGTGTTTATTAGTACTTATAAACCTACCCTATACCTAAACTTTACAACTACTGTACCTTAATAACTATTAATAAGCAACAAATTAGGAGTTTGTTTAGGGAAACCCTTAGTTAATAGTGAAAATGTGTTCCCTAATCTAAAGTGTTACCATAATATTAAACTAAGAAATATTACTATTGTAATATTTCACTGTAAAATAAAAAATAATGTATTTAAGAAAAACAATGTAATTATTTTATTGTACAGTACGACCGTAAAATTACAACATGAATTAATTTCGATACCATTTAATTTCCTCATTTTTAACTGTTAAACCATTAAGTTATTTTCAGACAAAAACTTTCAGTTGAAACAGCTAACCAATCACAGCACATTTCGTATTTCAGAAGGTGGGCTTTCATTTGATACAGGAACTATTCGAGCCGTTCATGCCAGACTGGGGAGAGAGGTGTTGTAATAATGTAAAATATGTGAAAAATAATGTGTTTTTCAAACAACCTAGTATGAGAGCCTGTTCAAGTACACCCCCAAAACAAAATCAAGACTTTGTAAAAGAGCATAATAGGACCCGCTTTAAATTAAATATGACGTCTAACCTGATTAAGGTCTATATGCACGTTATACAAGTTGTTCATGTACAAAACAGTTGCTCAAGCATAAAACCACAGTGCTGTGCATCACTCTGAAACACACACTGCATGTATTTATGTAATTAAATCATACCCTTTGCAATTTGAAAATTGCATTTCAGTTTTATTTCGATTACTCGTGCAGCCCTATAGGAAAATGCCACATGATGTCCCTAAAGAAATACCCCAACAACCAGAGAAAAAGACCAAAAGAAAGAGACGGTATGTTTTTTTTTCCCTTTCTCCCTTTTTTTAAAATTTACATTCATTGATACGGTAACGCATACACGGGGCAGCGCTAAGCTAATTAACAGAACACGTGGTAAAAGTTTTGCTGGCGAATGTCTTGCTCTACTCAGCTCGAGCTCTCTCAGAATTAGAGGCGAGTGTTTGTGTGTGTAAGTGTGTGTGTTGGTGGGATTATGCGTTCTGCACGATAGGCCTTGTGGATCAAGCCTATAGCATTTCCCTCCAACCTGATTTTTAATGAGTTCTACAATTAGCAGAGTTCAACAGCCCGAAAGGCCAAATAAACCGTTTTTTCACTGTCTTTCTTCCTCTCCCTCCCTCTGACCCGTTTTTCCCGTCGCTCTGTCTACACAGGTTTGTCCGTCTCTGTGGGCCACGAGAGGTGTTCTGCAGCGTTTCTGAGCCACGGTAAACGCGTGATTGCAGAGGAGGGAACACTATTTGGTGGACAGGGAGAGGATGAAGAGAAAATGGAGGGCGTCAAAGAGTGCGAGATGAAAGAGATAAAAGGAGAGGAATATTGTGTCTCCCCTTGAGCTGTGAAATGGTACACATGGACATGAGCCGGCACAGAATTAGGCACAGCGGCTAGCCCGCTATGTTAACACCTCACGTATTAAACAAAACCTTGACGCGCCGCTAACACCCCGCTCGCTCGGCGTGCATGCGCACTTTTAATTATACGCAGCGGTTAGCCACAACGCTAACACCCCTTGGCGTAAACACCTTTAATAACACGCCACAGCTGTCCGCTATGCTAATGCCCCACTGTTTCCGCACGGGCCTCCCAGCGGTTAGGGCTACAGTAACATGTCGTCTCGTTGTCCTGTAATGTGAAATAAAAAGGAGAAATGGTGGCTGATGATAACGCGGGACACGGCGGGAAAGCCGAGCTGAAGGAGATGTGGTCTATAGGAGTCCTCCATGGACAATGAGACGCTGATTACCCGGCATGGGTGTGTGTTATAATGACAGTGATTATGATTTGGGCTGTGTGGACTGGTGTGTATGTGTGTGTGTTTGGGCATAGGGCAACGCTGGCTGTCGCAAGAGTTTTCCTGATGTATTTCCGAAGGATTATGTGGGAAGCGACTGCCTGAACAAATCGAAGTGAAGCCCTCTGTGAACACCTCAAATTAGAGTTCAGAGTATGTGGGTGTGTTTCTTAATGTAATGCTCCTTTGGGCCTTGAAAGCAGACGTGTTGGTTGCCATTATGAAGTGAGCAACAAAATCGCTTTTTAAGGGCTGAAAGCCACTAATGGACACACACACGCACGTACAGCCTGCTCTTAATATTCCAAAAATTCCAAAAATCCTTTAATAACAAGAAATGAAATTTCCAAACATGCCCAGAATATAGACAACTATATGAAGGCAGGTTAAAATGCTGTAAAAGATATTGGTAAAGGTCTGTGATGTTAGTAAAAAAGACAGGAATAAGCGATTTAGTACAAAGACAATGAGGAACAGTAACAAGGATAATTTTTGACCCCCACACACACACACATACACACACACACACTGAAGCTCATGAACAAATTAAAAATCTCAGAAGCCAAACACTAGTACTTGGCCTTAATGTTCTGAACATTTTCACAATGTTCTTGGGGAGCCTGAAATAGCAATGACAGAAAATATGTGCAGATTCAGCATCTAAATCGGTGTTTGGCATTAGCATGCTAAGTTAACAATGCAATACTCTAAGGGTTAGATCACCAAAGAATTTAAATTATGTTTAGTGTTACTGTAAGCTAAAACTATTAAAATTTATTTAATTGAAATAGAGCTGAAATACAATTAGATAGATATAAATATTGGATTAAAAAACCTAAAAACTTTAAGTGAAATAAGTTAAGTTGAAGTATTAAAATGACTAAAACAAAAATAAAACAAAGCTAATATATATATATATACAGTGGGTACGGAAAGTATTCAGACCCCCTTAAATTTTTCACTCTTTGTTATATTGCAGCCATTTGCTAAAATCATTTGTTAATTTTTTTTCCTCATTAATGTACACACAGCACCCCATATTGACAGAAAAACACAGAATCGTTGACATTTTTGCAGATTTATTAAAAAAGAAAAACTGAAATATCACATGGTCCTAAGTA